ACCCTAGGTAGAGTGCACCAAGGACTGGAGTCTTCTTATAGTTTCCCCGCCAAGGCTTTAGATTCTGGTGGGGATTAGAAGGGAGGCTGCAGTGTACAAATCTGGGAGCTTCCACCACATGAGGGTTAAACCATAGGATGCTGAAGGTAATCTCAACCAAAGCTTGTCTATGACAGCAGGGAAAGCAAATGTCATGCTGACAACATGTCCCTCTCCTCCCCCAAATTACTCAAACCAAAAAGTAGTACATCAACCCTGGCATCCCAGTTTAGCCTGCTGTGCTTCTCTGGAAGGCCACACCCCCTCTACAGAGTGGATAAATACCTTTTCCCCAAGAAAGGTTGTAAAAGATTGATGTTGTTCCAGAAACATTACATTAAATTTATTGTATTCTCCTGACTGCTAACACAGATTGTTTCAGGGGTGCATAACATTAGCTCCAGGTGCTCTGTAGCTTAGATTAATACCATATGTTATTTTTTAGACAAAGTGGCACCCACAAGATGGGTGAGACTGAAAGTAGAGCCAGAACCACCCAAATTCCCTCACCCTTGATTTAGAAAGACATTTTAACATTTAAACTCCATTTCAAGAAGTTCTGGCCTCATCACCCCATCCTGTATATTAAATTAGTCCTGTTCTGAGCTTTCTGAGTCCTGAAAATTCAGCCAAAATTTGGGAAAGGAATCAAGTTAAAAACAGGAGTATTGGCTCAACTTGTTCACATCAGTTGGATCTTACCCAGAACAGCATTCTGCACACTCCCTATCTCCACATTTAGTTTAGCCGCCCATGGCACAGCCATGATTTCCCAGAATGCCCCTGAAAATGAAACCACGATGGAATGGTCTTCCAGGGCATTATGGGAAATAAGATGGCCAGCAGAAGCATTTGTGAGTTCCATGCCTCCTTCCTTCAAAATAGCTCACTTCCTGAAAATATCCCCTCTCCCAAATTTTACACCCTCTAAATAGAGACTGGGGACCGCAGGTGGCACAGTGGTTTAAACCACTGAGCTGCTGGGCTGGTTGATCCAAAGGTCACCGGTTCGAATCTGCGCAACGGGGTGAGTTCCCGTTGCTCCGTCCCAGCTCCTGCCAACCTTGCAGTTCAAAAGCATGCAAGTGGATAAAAAGGTACCACTTCAGTGGGCAGGTAACAGCGCTCCGTGCACTTTGGTGTTTAGTCATGCCAGCCACAAGACCACAGAGACTCTCTGTGGGCAAACGCTGGCTCCCTCGGCCAGGAAACGGAGATGAGCACTGCCCTCAAGAGTCAGGCATGACTGGACTTAGTGTCAAGGGGAAACCTTTACAAATAGAGATACAAAAGTGCAGGGGCCACTTATACTCTGATCAAAGTGAACAGTGATCTTATGAATTGTTCCAGTGGTCTGGATTCAGTCAGTTCCATTGAAATCGATGGGACTTACTCACCTTGAATGTCAACCAGAGTACCCCACGTAGGGCTAAAGCTGGATTCAATCTTTACATCATAAGCTCTACCAGGGGCTCAAACTTCAGGTAGGTTCTGCTCATTCTTTCCTGATGCAAGTAAAATATTGGCTAAGGCCAAAGAAATCTTACCCTGATTCTCAAAACATTATTTTTTTCTTAAATTTACAAATAAATCAGTTTAGGTCATACATATTTATTTATTTGTTGTATAGCCTGCCTTTTTTCTTACAAAAGACATGAAGCAGCTCACCTCACTCTCCTCCTCCTGCTCTCAATCTCATCCCCACAACAACAACTTTGTGAGGTAGACTGTGACTGGCCCAAAGTCACCCCTCGGGCACCAGGAACAAGTGGGGACTAGAACCCCGATCCCCCGAGTCTCAGTCCTGCTCTCTTCACCACCACACCACACTGGCTTTCAACGAAAGATGTAAAAACGAAGTGATGTGCATTGGCGAAAACAGAAACATGGCAAACAGAGTGCCAGGGCCTGGGGATTATACATGGCTGGAGTCATTCTGAGAGCTGTGACACATAATCAGGAAATCATGTGAAGTCCAATTTTGCAGCCTGGGCCACTTCTGCTGCCCACATAGTATTGCAGATCGGAGTCTTCCCCTTATGAATAGAAACTCCCTAACTACAGAAAAGCCCTGCCCAATCTTCTAATTTACTATGTGCAGGAAGCTGTGGGAAGTTTTTGGTTAACTCTGATTTCACACACACACAGTTTGAAGGGCTACTGTCCAGGGATGCTGAGAACAATCCATACACATTTTATTTATTTAACAATTATATTTGTAACCTGCTTCCCCCCACCCAAGCAAGTGACCCAAGGGGGCTCTTGGACCCTCTTCCTCTTCTCCCTCTCCATGGTATCTTCACGGCAACCTTGTGAGGTAGGTTAGGCCGAGAGTAGCTGAACCAAAACCACCCAGTCAGCTTCATGGCCCAGTGGAGACTAGAACCCAGACTTTCCAGCACTGACTCTCCTAGTACTAATACGCTAAGAGACATCAGTGTGTTATGAAGGTTGTCCAAGCAAGCTGCAATATGGTTTGCGCTAGGATGAATCACAACTGAAAAAGGCGCAACTACACACAAACTCAGAATAGTTTAATAGGCATTCTTCCTCCCCTCCAGGATTCTTGGGAATGGCAGTTCTGGGAAAGGAATATTTGTCTCTTCTATCGCCACTGTTCAGGTGCAAGTGTCAAGGTGTATACAGATCCAAACAGCACAACTCGCACAGAGACTCATCCACAGATTCAGGGCAAACCAGATCTTTCCAGGTGTACCGAAGATCTTTGGAGAAGGTATTGCTGGCCATTTCACCGGCACTGTCTGGCACACCTGCCCCCATGCAATTTGGGCGACGGAAAATGTAGCATGCTTTAAATGCCTCCTGGCATTCAAAGGCTTTCCCTGGATTATAATGACGCTCATACAGCGCTCCGCCTTGCTGCTGCTTGCATTGCTTTCTTATTGTCATGGTTTTTATTATATTTTAAGTGTGCTTTCTAATATTCACATGGGAACCACAGTATAATCAGCAGCTCTTCCTCATTACATTATATTGAGTGGTGTTAAGGAGTGTCTTATATTAAGTGGTGTGTGGGTATTATTAATCAAATAAATAAAATAATATGTGGATTAAAATCTTTTGGGGAAAAAACCATCAGAGAAGAGAAACCTCGATAGAAGCACAGTGAGTATTATGTATGTCCAGTAGCTACAAAACATTGATTGCCCAGGAAAGGGGGTGTGCAGAGATGCACACATAAAACCAAGGGATGGTAGAATCAAATATCCACTGTGCCACAGATTTGTTGCAGATCCCAGGTGGGATCCTAAGAAGCATTTCTCTGGGGTAATGCATGCCTCTCAAATTGGTACACAAAGATACAACCTTTCAGGGTATATAAATGTGACTGGATGGCCCGGGAGGCCCCTTCTGACTCGCTCTGTTTCTATGCTTCTATGTTTCTATAATATAACCATAGCACAACCTTAAGGCAATAGCCTTGGCAGTTCCTCAAAGAGATTTGACTCTTTGAGTGACTGTCCCATAGTACAAAACAAGCAAATAAATAGAAACAGGCACAAAGCAAAAACACCAAAGACTTTTATTTTAGCCAGGAAGGCAGCTATCACATTCGATAAATTATAGTTAAGTATTTGCACGAGATTTAGCCCATGGATGAATCTGAGAAAATCTGAAAGAGAAAATCTTTCACATCTGGTGCAGTAGCCATTCAAGGGAATATTCTGCATTCTTTTTCATTCAGAAGGAATTCTCTTTTTAAATCAGTACTTGCATTTAAACATAAGGGTGTTTGTTTGTTTGTTTGTTTGTTTGTTTGATGAACTAATTGGTTCAAGACATCAAAGGTTTCTAATTAATTAATCAACTGAATGTTGATTTATTAATTAAAATGGAACCCCATGTTCAAAAGCAGACTACCTCTGTTTTCCACATCACCAGGGTTGGGAACTCCATGGAAACATCTAGGAAACTGCCTGGTCTGGCGGAACAGAGAAGAGAGGGCATATGTGCATGAACCCTGCTGGGATGGAGACCTTTTGTGTCTGACCCATTCAGCAACCAGGCCTGACTCCACCATGAGGGAGATGCTTTGGTTGTTTCATCACAGGGGACTTAAAGACGACCACTGATGAAATAAGGTTCTTCAAAGGGAAAAGGCCTCCTTGTCATAGAGAGAGAGAATCCCATATGGGATAGACTCCTCCTTCCCATAAAAAGAGTGCTAATGCCAGTTTTCAGAAAGAATTTTCCTGTACAGTCTTTTTCTATGTACTCCCCACACACATGTCTATTTGATCACAAAATAATGATTGTTTTAGCCCTTGAGGAACTTTTTAGCCCTTTGTGCATGCAGTCAGCTCTTGTCTAGCCATGCCCCATGGGAAGTTTGTTCTCCATAGCCTGTTTCTGGACAGTAGAAAACTGATAGCCCATTTTCCTCCCATGCTGTTCACAGCCGTTGATTGAAAGGATACACCCTTTCAATCAACTACCATAAGAAATGCAAATTTCTCATAGCATGCAAAGAGCTGAAGGGACAAGGGAAGGTTAAAGGTCACTTCCCCCACCTGGCACCACTCATCCCCATCAAATTCAGAAAGTAGAAGCAGAAACAAGCCATTCATACAACCTCATGGCACATGCAACTTCCATAGCACAATGCAAAGCTTGGCCCTGAGTAGCCCTCTGGTCATTCAAGCATTGCGACTCAGCATTGTCCCTTTGTGCACCCATGTCCAGAATCTCTATTTTCAAAGAACATCTCTGAAAAGTAGCAAGCAATCTGCATGCACCTGAGACATGTGCCCCAAGCAGTTCTCGTCATGATGGCTTTTGAACAAACAATGGCTGTGGTTAGCACAGTTCATCATCCTTCCTGTTCATGGATACCAAGGAACCGTGCTCTTCTAGTCCCATTTTCACAGTGCTAGCAACCTGATGGCATGCAGTCATCTCCAAGATTGCCACCTCCATTGGAAAGGGAATTTCTCAGATGCTCAAGCAACCGTAGCTGCTGCTTGTTGGATCCCTCCTTTTCCATGGGCTGAGGCAATCTTCAGCCGAATGGAGCCACATTTCTTCTGCAAGGAGCGCCATACTTGGGCAATGCCATCATCCATGGCAGGAGACATGAAGTAGAAGATGAGAGGGTCCAGGAAAGCATTGCATGCGCTTGGGAGCAGAGCCACACTGCGCCACCAGACATCGTCCTTATAGATGAAGCCCACGACATGGGATATGTTGTAAGGGCCAAAGCAGAGGACAAAGACAGAGAGGGTGGCCACTGCCACCCGCACTGCGCGATGCTTCTTCCGCAGATGCAGGTGTGACCCAACCAGGACGCGGATGCAGCCAGCATAGCAGAAAGAGGTGAGTGCCAAGGGGAAGAAGAACAGCACCACGGACAGCTCCAGCCGCACAGGAGCCAACAGGGCCAGCTGGCCATCGCTGAAGTTGCTGTAGCAAGCCAAGCCCTTGCCAGCAAAGAGGCTGGAATTAGTATCCCTGGAGGTTTCCAGGGCAAAGATCAGAAGCCCATGAGAGCCGACGAGGCACCATATCCCCAAGGAGATCAGGCAGGAGTAGCGAGGCCTTTTGAAAACCTGATAGTGGATGGGGTAGGCGGCACCCAGAAAGCGGCCCACACTGACAGCAGTCAGGAAGCAGGCACTGGCGTAGATTGTGCCAAAGTGGATCAGGTTGTAAAGAGGGCAGAGGAAGCTCGGCATGGTCCAGTCCACGGGGCCCATCTCTAGGATCTTCAGGGGAAGGAAGAGGACAAAGACCAAGTCAGACACACAAAGATTTATCATGTAGATGAGGTTGGGTGTCAGGCGAGCCTTGGCCCGGCAATAGAAGACGTAGAGGGCCAGAAGATTGGAGGGCAGCCCCAGCAGGATGGTAGCCCCATAGACAACGAAAGAGATTATCTTCCAGGCTCCCATAGCATCAGGATCAGCAGCAAGGATGAACCACGAATAGCTGTTGTTCGGTCCACTTGCCTACCTGTTTCTCCCATCCATTCTCCAAGCACTTCCCAAGCACTGCCAGAGGTGCCTCAAGTTTAGCAGTGAGTAGCTGTGTGTGTGAGCAGCAGATGCAACACTTATGAAGCAAGCAACAGCACTTAAAAGGAAATGGGCCATGAGAAATTGTTCAGTGCCTGTGCCCATGAGCCAAGTCAATAAAGCCATAAACTCCCGGAAGATCCTGGAAGAGAAGGAGTTGTTAATGGTCCACTGGGCTTCTGAATATGCTTGGATTAATCAGGGAAATAAGAATGGGGAACGAACGAGTGGGAAATAAGTATGATCTCCCAGTAGCTAAGTCCCTTTTTGGAAGGGGCTGGGGGCATAGATGGGGCTCGTGAGTGATGTTTCCTCAAGTCAGCAGGGTTTTGCTGTTTTCTACTAAATTCTGTATCCTGAGAATCTCAGCTGAGCATTTTACTGACATCAAGTTCCTAGCCCCGTGTCTTTGGAGAAAAAGTTTGCAAATGTGGGTGATGTGTGTGAAGAGTCTTGATATACCTCAGAGCAAACAAACGAAAACTAACCCTGGTACTGAGATCTTCATCAGGAGACATTCTTCAAGTTTCTGTTCCCTGTCTGTGCACTAGCATTTGAATCGAGGCTGCTGCAAATAGAGGGGAGAGGGCCAACAGGGCCTTCCCGGTGACATCACACCAGCTGGCTAGCGCTCTCCGCAGACTTTCCTCTGGCCCTATCTATGGTCTTCTTTCAGCACCAAGTCAAGACTTTTTAATTGGCCCAGCCTTTAATTGCGCAGTGAGCACCTTGTTAGCTGGCTTTGATTCCTCTACAATTCTGTTTTTGCTCCAGTTGTGTTTTCAGCCATTCCTCTTGGTTGTAATGAAAATTGCTTTATGAGGTTTGACTATGGGCTAAACTAGAAGTTTTGTGAACTGCATCTTGGGTGTCAAAAGGAGGGTCCCCTGCCCAGACTGCATTTCCAGTTGAATGGTTTTCCAGAGAATCACAACAGAGGGGAAAGGATTAAATTTGCTTCTAATCTTGCTCCAATGCCCATGGCAATCATACCCACCCTAGCTCATGCCTTTTGCACCTATTCTTTAAATGTGCAGCTAGTTGCTTCATTAATTGGTCTATTTAATGTCAGTGTGGCCATGGAAAACAGTACAGAAATACTAGAATGGAGGACAAGTAGGAATTTTGCAATCATTATTAAAATCCACAAAAAGATTAAATTCAAACACCATTTGTACATGTAGTTTCTCATAAATGTAAAATGCAAAACATATTTTCAAAACATATTTTCCTCTGAACGATACATTTTAACACATTCTGATACATTTTTGGCTGCAAACTGCGCCAGAACATTGAACAAATGTTAAGTGGGAAGACTAATTAGATTCTGGCCTAGTCATTACATTAGTCTAGAAGTGCAAATAAAGACAGGGGATTTTTTAAAAAAAAAAAATCTAATTCCTCAGTCATCCCTGTTTAGGACTAAATTTCTCTTTCTCTCTCTTTTTTTTTAATCCAACCCCCAAATTCAGTTACCAAAATTGGTTTTCAGAGTTGAGGCCTCTGTAGTGGTGGCTCAAAAGTTGTGCATTTTTCTTTTCAGAAATCCAGCAATCCCCTATTCTTTGATGGGCTCATGGAGCAGCCAGGAAATGTTAAATTCTGGACTGAACAGTCTTAAAGGGGCTCACTTCAGATAACCTTGAGCATTACTACACTTATGGAGGAAATGCACCATAACAATTCTCTCTCTGACCACATACACCAACACCAGCATTTTGTACTTTACAACAGTTTCAACATTCCTCATGTTAGAGCAGCAAACCTGCTCACCAGACCTGATTTTAAAAATAATACTCACAATATGTGCAGCTTTACATTCTAAAGCAGGGGTCTCAAACTCCACTTACCTGGGGGCCGCTGGAAGTCGAGTCTGGGTGAGGCTGGGCCGCATCAAGTACTCCACCCCCGCGGTGGTGGGGGGCCGCTCATCCCGCCTCGTCCCGGAGGCCGCAGGGCCCCTCCCCGTGCCCCGCCCGTCCCGGCAATTGGCCCGCGGGCCGCGAGCTTGAGACCCCTGTTCTAAAGCCACTTAATGGGGATGCCGATGCCTAGTGAAGCAAATATCTGGCCAAATTCCACCTCTCTTGCACTCGCTGGACTTCTTTCTTGGGCTGTTTCCTGGCACGGGATGCAAAGCCAAGCTGAGTTGGCCTGCAAATGCTCAGGAATGCCCCTGGGCCTGGTCACTGCACTGAATTCTTGCACAAAGTGCACAAGTCCACACGTCATGCGTGCAGCAGCAGAATTCTGCATGCACAGTGCGCGTGTCGGTGGCGGGCAGCGTGTGCAAAGCTGCGCAAAAGACTCACTTTCTGCGGGATGCCCACACAAGCGCCAGGTACAAGGTGGAGCTGGGCAGAGAGGAACTGGCCGGAGTCCAGGGAGCCCGGCCAGGAAAGGCCAGTGGGTCCCTTCCCCCAAACCATTTTCCTCACACACTCTGCCCATCTGCCTCTAGGTCAGCATCCTATGCAGGGCAGGGCAGGGCAGGGCAGGGGGGGGCAGAGACCTTCCCCCCCTTCTCCCCCCGCCACACCAGTTGTACCCACAGCTGCAGTGCTGTGAACAGAAAGGGAAAGAAGTCAGAGTGCTCCAAGGACTCACAACTCACTCGCCTCCTCCAGCCAGGGCTGCCTTAACAGCATGATGGGCCGCGGGCAAAGCAGTGTCCTGGGGCCCCTACGACAACCACAACTGCTGTTAATTTTGGCAGCTTTCCAATTTTCCAAGGGTTAACATACACAGATTAGTCTGGGGCCCACGGGCACGTGCCCATCAGGCCCCTGCGTTGAGACAGCCCTGCCTCCAGCAACATCACCTTTACCCATTCCCAGAGGTCGTTCTTACAGCCTCGGACAAGAAGCCAACGCGGCTCTTCCCACCCCAGCTGCAAGTGGGGGAGCGTGACTGGAGCATGGATTCCCCACTTCAAGTTTGGAGCACTTTCTTACCTCGGAGCTGGGGAGCTGAGGCATTCTATGGAGCCCTGGATTCTGCCTAGGGACCAGGGCATGGCGCTGTTAAATCCCAGCCTCAGCAGGACTAGAGGACTAAAAGGGAGTTTGCTTCTGCTCTCCTTGTGCTGAGGTCCTTGTCAGCTGGACAGTCATTTGGGGAGCCCTTGTGGGCGTGACTGCTTAATTTCTATTATGTGCAAACCAGGGAGGGGAAGCAGGAAGGATTGTTAAAATGGGGTGTCAGTGGTCCAAATCCATTCATAAGGAATCTGGCATCTCATTCCTTGGCCTCTCTTGGCCAGATGTTTCCCTAAATAATTTTCCCTTTTTTCATTTATCCACCCTTTCTAAACGTTAGTCAGATCCCTCACTCTTCCACTTTTCTTTTTTTAGCCCTTACGCATATATATTTAAACGCATATTCAAAGATGTTTATTTGAATGACGTTTCATATGACATTGCTTCCGCTGGGGTGAGAAAACAGACGAAAACCTCAAGGAGGAAGCACGCTCTGATGAGTCGTGGAAAGTTTGCGCTCCGATGAGAGCTAACCCAAAAGGGGCAACATTTCCTGGCTGTTGTTTCTTCTTCTTTTCAGGTTTAAGCAAACAGGAGCCTAAGTGACTGTTTCAAGGTGCAACTCTGGGAACCAGCTCTCAGTAATTGCATCTTAACAGATGTGTGTGAATTTATGAGAAGCACAATTGTGCTAATTGTACCAATAGCAGTACACGTTTTAAAACACATGTAATAGATACAGGCATGCATTTCACATGTATCTGTTGTTACTGAACATTTTAATTTTATGTTATGAATACTGGAGGGGGGGTCTCTTCCTTCCCCTTCTCTTTCCTCTCTTTTTGGTTGCTTTGTTTTGCTTTTGAAACTCACAAGAACAATATAAAGATTTGCCACTGAATGTTATAGGGACGAACACAGGTAAATATATAACTTCTCTTTGCTAGTTTCATAGGTATTCAGGAATAATAATCCATTCTGTATATTTGCTGCATCTGCTTGTAATTTAAGAAAAAATGAACCTCACAAATATTTGTGCTTATTTATGTATGTACCTTCTCTTAACAAACATACAATTGTTCATATTTTCCCCCAATATATGCATTTTTGGTATACAGGTTTTTAGTCAAGAGCTGCATCAGATAAAAAGTGCATGGTTCAAAGGAAAACTGCAACTTATTAGCCCACAAATTAGTTTACTGAATTGGTTTACTGAAAAATGTAATCCAAACAGAATAATCCATCATCCATAAGCTATTAGTGAACACTGTTTCATTCACTGCAAGAATCAATTGTTTCGTTTGTTTTTACAAGCATTCTTTTTGGCCCATTGCAAAATGTTGAGCGATTTTGCAAGTACTTGACATAGAGATGTACAATTCAGCTAGCAGGAATTCTCAGAGTTCCATGCTGGCACTCATTCTGACAAGAGGGGTCATGTCAAATAGCAGAATTGCTTTGCTTTGCCACAGAAATGTCTGTGCTTTTGTCCAGATTTCTCCAAAAGATCCATTGTGCAGATCTTTGATATGTACACATTTTTCTCCATGGCTTAAATTATTTATGTGCATTTTTCACATGCATTTCTGTTTGGTCCAGAAGGTTCAGTGGATAAACCCTTATCAAAACTCAAAAGAAATGAATTTCTCATGCATTCCTATTTGGAAGCAATACTGACAATAGCCCTGAGCAAGCCAAGGTAGAAGGGAATGACAAAACACTTAACTTTGCTAGCTAAGGTGGAGATAACCGATAGCAGACAGAAAGCTTAGCTTTCTGACTGACATTCTACCTGGACCAGGGTCTTACCCACTTGTCTGCAAATGAAGTGACACTTCAGACTGTGCTCAGAAACATCCATTTGTGCTTGGAACATGGGAATCATAGCTGCTCATGAAA